CAATTTAGCAGTGGCAATGTGTAGAGAATTTTGGGTGTATATATATATATATATATATATATATATATATCGCCAAAATAAAATTTTCATTTATGGAAAGTCGATACAAAGGTTTTCGTGAGTGGGTGCTAGAACCCACTCACAAGACATACAAAACTTAAAAAAAAGTACTTAAAATGTACAAGTATACCCCAAAAAAATAAGATTTCGTGAAATCGTAGAAGAGCACCGAGCAAGAGTAGAGGAGGCCAATCATGATGGGAAGATTTTCCTTTCCCCCTACTCCTGGTTCTAGGAATGAAGTCCAGCAACAAATTGTGAAGGGGGCTATTCTGGAGGTGAGGCATCCATTTTTTCTTCCTCTTGTATTTTTGAACCTGTCATTCATCTTTCACTTGTTGTTCGAGCTGATCATTTATAGGATTTTCAGTGGATAACTCACATTGATCTTGGCATTCCTCCAATGTATGAGTACCTTCCCCAACAGCAAGTGGTGCCAACTCATTTGGGTGAACATCTAAGACAACCAAATGAGAGGGATTAGGAGTCTCAGTAGGCTTGCTTAGAGGTGGGTCCTCATCATATTCATTGGGAGCAGTATCATGTTGTGTAGGACCATTTCCATTGTTAGGAGTGGGGACAGCAAGCAGCTCATCTATCTGGTTAACATTAGTAAAAGCAGGTTCCAATAAAGTTGCAGGGCCTAAAGTTGCCTCTTGGGTAGCACTGACAGAATTAACATATTCAAGAATAGATTGCATTCTGTTCTAAAAAAGCACTGTCAGAAATAACATGTTTAGGAATAGATGGTTCCTTTGTATGTTGTTCAACCATAGACTTATCTATATCTAGTTGTATTGGAATATTGGGTTTCAACTTTGGGTGTAATCTGAAGCATTTACCATGCTTGTTTGTCAAACATCTTACAATGATTGTAGTAGCAAGGTTTTTGTTCCATAATGATTTATTGTCAGTAACCATTGTGAGCAGTGTCAAGCCAGATTTCTTCTATATCTGGAAGTGTAATATCCCTCTTTATTAAAATCCTTGCGGCAGAAGGTCTTGACAGATTAAAAGTAGAAATGTCTAACTTCATTGGTTTTCCAATAATAGCACCAATAGCATATAGTACTTAATGGTTGAAAAAATGAAGCTTGAGTCAAGGTAATTTAAACCATATAGGAATAATGGGAGGTTCTTGACTTGGATCAAAGTCAACGGACCATTTAAGCAATTTCATATGTTTTTCATTAATTAAGATGAATTTCTTCGAAAATATCCATGCATAGTCTTCTTCTTTGTTCAGTTGTATCATAACATGTCTTTTATCAAATAGTCCCACCTTCCAGTCCCCAAATAGTTTGAAATCTTCAAAAATTTTCCTAATAGTTTCCATCTTAAGATGACCCAATTAAAACTTTTCAATCAATGTAAATTTATGATTTTCAGCAAGGGTTGAAATTTCAGTGTTAGAAAAAATAAAAGCTAGTTTGCCCCCCTTTTTTTCCTGATTTTTTTATGAAGTTACAATCTCCATGTCCCGCAAATGAATCATGATGCATCTGCGGAAAAACCAAACTATCCCCGAGTTGGAAAGGAGCACTGCATTTATCAATCACAGAAGCATATGAGGGTTTACCCATATTAGTAGGTTCAGTCAGAAAAGAAGATGAGAGAGCTGTCATGAAATCAGAATAACAGAAGACCGCAAAAATACCAAGAAGACATGATAAGGATAACACCCTGACACAAACACATCACCACCAGAAGTCGGGGCAGCGGCGAACCCAGCAAACCATGATCAGAACTCAAAGCAGTAGAAAGGAAGAAACTCGCCCAAATCTGCTGTCGCCGAAACCCTAAAACGAAGAAACTACAAAGTCGCCATAGCCGACTTTCGACGCATAACCCCTTCTCGAAACTCCAACTCGCCACCTTCTCCGCAAATGAAGGGTGAAACATTAACGAAAGGTCACTTTGCACGCTCAACAGTCATCCACCGTGGAATCGCCATGGAATCACCTTGCCCTAGCTCCCATCATCGTGTTATTAAAGTGGTCTTTTGACTTTGACCCTAATTAGAAACCACCTATTGTTCCTATTTGATTCAAGCTACATGGACTTGAACTCCATTTCTTTAATCATTAGGTGCTCTACACTATTAAGACTGCACTTGGGAGGCCAATGAAGCTTGACATCCCAACATTCAATGTGTATAGACCTTTTGTTGTTAGGATTTTAGTGGAAAGGGACATCACTCTGTCAAATGTTGAGGAGATATGGTTAGGCACTGCCCATAATGGGAATTGGCAAAAGATTGTAGTTGAACAAAGACCTTACTATTGTAATCACTGTAAGATGCTTAGTCATACCAATGAGAGGTGTTATAGGCTCCACACGAATTTAAAAACTAAACAGCCTGAGAAGGGGAACCATCCTGGCCCTCAGGAAAATCATATTGCTGAAGGAACTGACGGAGTGATGCCCAGGTTGCTGTTGAATTGAATATTTCTGCTGCAGTGGGTGGTGATACAAATATTGTTGAAGATCTTAATTTGGTTGTCACTCCCATCCTACTGATGGAGTTAATGCCCAGGTTGCTATTGAATTGAACATTCTAGCTGAACAACTGTTTCTATGAAACCTGGGCAATGGTAATGTTTACTTTTGGCTAGATAAGTGATGCCCTGATGACCTTTTACAATCAAGAGCTGTTGATTTTAACTCCAATCTCAAGGTGGCTGACTGTTGGGATGGGGATCAGTGGTCTACTGCAATTCTAAATTCCCTTCTGGACAGGAATTCTGCTGACTGCATTTCCAAATTGCGTATTGTCATTTGGCAATAAAATCATTTGATCAGAGGACATGTAAAATATCCTTACTAGAATGAGATTTTTAAGAGTGCTTATAGAGATATAGCCGATATACCATTTGATCAGCCCATGGTGGCTTTGATTGTATTTAAAATAGAAATTTACATCTCTATGTCCATAGCACAACGTAGGCTTCATGTCTATTGAATATGATAACCATTGTCCTATGTTTGCAGCTTAAAATTAATGTAATAAAATAAATCAAATATGAAGTCAGTCTGTACAGATTGACGCTTGCATTGCCATTATATTTTATACATTTATAGGAGAGCATTTTCTCGACGACACTTATACTTTGTAAATTGGTGTGACAAGAATCGATCACTAAGATGACCAATGTGATTCCCAAGCTCTGTTTAATTGCTACCGAGAAAGGAGAGGTTACATGGCCAACATAACTTATCCTTGTTCATTACAAGGTCTTCGGATTGATGGATTGAATTGACCTTAAAACTAGGATTAATAATGACTTGTGTAAATTTCAAGGGTGAAACTTCTTTAAGGTGAGGACATGAACGAGCATTTCTTCGTTAGAATAACTGAGTTTGATAAATGGGTTAATCAAATGGATTAAGGGTGATTAGCGTTAGCATTTCTTCTTTTATTTGGGTCTTTTTCAGACTGATCTATCCTATAATAGATATTGTGAAGCCAACAATTTATTCCATGTTTCAAATCTACTCAATACTTCTTTCCGGCCTAAACCCTCACAATAAGAAAATAAAAATAAAAATAACAGTTACAGTAACTAAAGATTCCTGCTTTGTCCAACTATATGGAGATAAAATTCATAAAAATAAGTTTCAGGGCATAGGCATGAAAAATTAACATATGACAGAAAAACATAAGAGCCTATGGGAAGATTTATGATATAGCTCAAATAGTCAAAAACTGTAACAATGCACTAACCCCTTTCATGTAAAATATCAGAAGAATTTGGCTCAAATTCTAATGCTTTCGTTAAGTCCTCAATAGCCTACAAATTAAAATATATAATTAGATGAAAAAGATTCCATGGAGTAAACAGGCGGCAATGCTTAAATTGTAGGTGTCATTTTATGGAGTGCCTAATATGCAAACACAAAATATAATCAATCTGTCGCCAAGTTTTCTTATGAAGATGTCATTTGCAGCAACACAAGCAAACGATAAAGTAAAAAAAGAAAATTCTGTTTGATAATTTATTCCTGAAATCTCAAGGCACAGTGTTTAAAAGCTGCATAAAAAAGTGAAACTGTATGCTTAATTCAATGATGCATCCTTAGTAGAGTGGAACTCCTTTGCTGCAGCATGAAACTAAACTTTGCAGTATTCATTTTAACATCATAATTTGTATCTATTATTGAAAGCTAATCCATGCAAAATATACAAAAGATTTAATGCATTAACTGAAAATGTACGCTGAAAGAAACAGTTGGATGCAACAAATATAGGATTCATCACTTTGCATCTTCAAATGCTTTAAAGAATGTACTTGTAGAAATTACAGTTGAAATGAAATCGGATGGCAAACAAACAACCAAAACTTCAAGATAATGTGCTGTCCTATCGCGCGTGGTTCACAATGCTACACACATAGTGCTCTTACATCTCCAATCTTATAGAGAAACCCTCAAATGCAGTGAGGGCATAAAAAAAAATATTATGTAAAACAGTTACTGTGATTATGACTACAGACACACAGTTGCTTACATTTATGGGGGACCTATGCCATATTTTATTAGTATAGTATCTGCACAGAATTGAAAGAAAGAAAAAGCCTTGCCTCCTCAAATTCACCTAATGCAGCACGAGCTTGTCCCCTCCGTTTCCAAGCTTCTCCAGCAGATGAATTGCACTTAATAGCCTAAACAAGAAGCACTCTCAGAAGAAAGAATGGGTAAATAATCAAATCTAATACATATTACCATAGTAAAATCATCAATAGCAGCTTCCAGCTCTCTTTTGAAAGCATAAGCTGTTCCTCGACCTATAAGAGCCTCAGCATATTTAGGGTTTTCGTTCAGGACCTGCATAAATATTGAATAGATAATGGTGCTCAATTTATTAACTAAGAAGGCCATGTACAGCAAAAGTGGAGATCAAGCATACCCGGTCAAAAATGGATATAGCTTCTCCATATTTCCCTTTATTGACCTGCAAAAAAAATTCCCTCCTTTCTGGATCAAATTAAGAGGTGATGATTTCAAAATGCACTAAACCACAATCTGCATCCACTAGAAACAGGAAAAAATAAGAAGGCTAACCCAAGTAAATTTTTTCACCTAGTATACGTAACCAACTGTAATCAAATTTTATAAATTATTTTATTAAAATATGAATCACAGCATGCAATAGCCCCATCCCGAATTTGTTAAGTTAACCTTGACAGGTAAAAAGTAAAAAAACAAAACCAAAAAAAAAACACAGTTGGTAACTTAAAAAAAAAGAAGAAAAAAATAAATTAAATTTTTTTTAAAAAAAGAAGCATCTCCCACTGCCTCGCCAACTCCATGCGCAGAGAAAAATGCCTGACTATTTAAAAAAAAAATTAAAACCAGCCCTAGCCCAATATTTCTGACTTTCAAATCTCTCACTAACCATCTCCCTTTTTCTCTATCCAACCCAAATACCAGAATCTTTTGGGTAGAGAAACAAGAAAGTCGCGACAAGAGCTAATGGGTTATGGCATCAATCGGCCTAGTAAAAGAGCGAAGCAGGAAGTTGTGCTTAAGAGCTCGAAGGAGAAGGCATAAACAGGGTCTACCACAAGTGAACAAGCAGAAAAGTTGCATGGGAGGTTTGCTGGAAAAGCCTTGATGATAACAACATGCAGACCAGAAGAAAAATTTATGAGATTTACAAATTTAAGGCAAAACAAAGCTGAAATGGATGCTTTTTTTAATTAAATTATTTAAATTGTTTAATAAAATTATATCTGTATATTCGTCGAAAGCCCTAGTTTCACGCACATCAGCCTTCTTCCTCCCTTCAGTCTCGACTTTACCCGCACAGCTTGGCTTCTTCTCCTTTTGACAAAGCTGCACTTCCTTCCCTACAAATCCTTCCTCTCCTTTGGTCTCAGCTCTACAAAGAGCAGCGCACACAGAGCTCATGGCTACGGCTCCCCTTTCCCTCTTGACAGAGCCGCGGACCTCCTCCTACCTCTGCCTTTGGACCGCGACTCAACCAACACCGCTCACACACAAAAAAGTCGCTTCCTCCTTTCTCTACAAGCAAGCAAAACGCCAATGCTTCCTTTGGCTAGGGTTCAGCATGTCAGAACACAACGTCAAAGCCGCACGACCACCTACCTTCCTCCTCGACCAATCGACCAAGGCTCGACATCGTCTCCTACGCAGCAAGGGTTGACATCCTTCCTCTTTTTCTTTCTCCTCTTCTTCACTTCCCTCTCCTGCAGTTTGTATCTCGTCGGTTCGAATGAGAGGAATTGTTAATCTGAAGGGATGTTTATATTTATTTATTTATGTAATTTCAATTATTACAATCTCTCATCCTTATAAAATTTTCATCCTAAAAATTTGAAATGTATCATAAAAGTAAACATACCTCAAATGAAAAGTTTTGCATATCTTTACAGAAGGTTTCACCCAAGTAGCATTCTTCTCTTCGTGCTTCCTAAGGTAATGCTCTTCAAATGTGTTTTCTTTTCCATCGACAAATTCCATGATCTGTGTGATAAGTTATCACAAGAAATTACCCAATTCGTTAACAAATAATGGATTTGATGAAGCCATGTCATGTGATGGAGAGGGAAAAAAGAAGTAGGGTTCTAACAAAGATAGCGGGTTCTGAAAGGAGCGGATTTTTCGAAAGAAGAGGGATGGTTTGAATTTATTTTCTTAGTGTTCAGTCCGGAAGAAAAAGAGAGGTTTCCTTAAACCGAAGTGCAGGTAGCCTTTTTTTTTCTTGTCCTTCTGAACTGAAAAAAATGAATTCAAATCGAGCCCTCTTCTTCCAAAGAACTCACTATTTTCAGAACCCACTCTTAGCAGGAACCATAATTCTCTCTCTTTCTCTCCATCATAAGCGTAGCTTCATTCAATCCGTCATTCATTAACAAATTGGTGAATTTCCTGTGCATAGCTTGCCCCACTGATCACTGAATTACTCGATGAAAAAGAAAAAATGCATTTGAAGAGCATGAACTTAGGAAGAACTGATAAGAAATGGATAATACTTACAAGAAAATTTCTATTATGCAAAAAAGAAATCAATGGCCTTCATTTCAGGTATGTTTGCTTTAATAATACATTTCAAAGTTCGAGGACAATTTTAAGGGAGACTGTAGTAACTGTCATTAAAAAAATAAATAAATAAATATAATAACAAAATTAATAATGATAAATTAAATGGATACTTAGAATAAGCATCCCTCCAGTTACGACTTAAGAATCATATTCCCCCTTTCAAATCAATAAATCCCCCCAATCAAACCGAAGAGAGACAAACCGCAGAAGGAGAAGAAAGATGAGAAGAGAAAGAAAAAAAGAAAGAAGGAAGTCATTGCTTACTGCATAGGAGATGACATAGAACCCTAGTCGATCGATCGAGGAGTAAGGAAGGTGGTCATGCGGCTTCGACGTTGTGTGCTAGTGTGAACCCTAGCCGAAGAAAGCAAAAACTATTTGCTTGCGTGTAGAGGGACGAAGAAGTGTTGTTGTATGTGTGCGGTGTTGGGTTGAGATGCGGCCAAAGACAAGAGGAAAGAGGTTTGTGGCTCTGTCGAGAGGAGAAGTGGAGTCGTAGCCGTGAATTATGTGTACGTTGTTCTGGGTCAAGCCAAGACCGAAGGAGAGGAAGATGGAATCGAAGGGGAGAAAGTGTGGCTCTGTCGAGAGGAAAAAAACCAAACAGTGTGAGTCAAGCCGACATCGAAGAGAGGAAAAAGTGAGGTCTCGTGCATGAAGATAGTGTTGTCGATTGATATTTTTGTGTGTGAAATTTTCTTAAATAAATTAAAATAAATTATATAAAATTTTAAACTTACTTTTTATATTCGATCAACAGCCCTAGCTTCACCCACAACGACTCCCCTTCGTCCGCCCTTATGTCCCAGCTTGAAGCGCACGGTTTAGCTTCTCCTCTTGATAGAGCCGCACTTTCTCCCCTTCGACTCTTTTCTCTCCTTCAGTCTCAGCTCGACTAAGGGCAGCGTGCGTCGAGCTCACGGCTACAGCTCCCATTCCCCTCTCGACAGAGCCACGAACCTCCCTACGCATCTCAACCTAACAACACACACGCACTACAACGCCGTTTCCTCAATCCTTTACACGCAAGCAGAATGTCTTTGTTTTCTTCGACTAGAGTTCAGCATGTCAGAATAGCATCGAGGCCGCACGATCAGCTTTCTTCATCTTCGACCGATCGCCAGGGCTCAATGACATCTCCTATGCAGCAGAAATTGACTTCCTTCTCATTTTCTTTCTCCACCTCTTCCTTTTCCTTTTGTGAATTGTCTCGCGTTGATTCAAATGAAAGAAATTATTGATTCGAAAGAGAGAATAGTCGTAATTGAAGGCATGTTTATTCTTAGTGTCATTTCAATTTGTCATTATTATTATTATTACTTTGTTTACTTTCAGTTATTATAATATCCCCCATAAAAATTTCGTTCTTGAAATTTGAGAAGTATCATGAAATCAAACATGCCTCAAACAAAAAACTGTGGATATTTTTCTTGCATAACAAAAGCTTTTTCCCAAGTAGTATCTTTCTCTGATCCATGCTTCCTTAGGGAATCCTCTTCAAATGCAAATTTTTTTTTCCGTCAACGATTTTATGATCCGTGAGACAAGCTATACTCAAGAAATTACATGATTCGTAAACAAATGATGGATTGAATGAATTCATGTCTTGCAATAGAGAAGGAGAGAGGGAGGGTTAGGGGTCTTGCCATTCTTGGAAGAGAAGGGCTTGATTTGAATTTATTTTTTAGTGTTGGGTCTAGAAGGAAAAGAGAAAGATTTCCTCAAATCGAGAAGTGCAGGTAGCCTTTTTTTCCTTTCCTTTTGTGCCAAATACTAAAAAATAAATTAAAATTAAGCCCTCTTCTTCCCAAGAACCCACTCTGGCAAGAACTTGCTCTAGCAAAAATCTGCTTCGGCGAGAACATGCTCTCTTCGTGAGAACCCTAACCCTCTCTCTCCATCACAAGACATGGTCTCATCCAATCAGTCATTTGTTAACGAATCGGGTAATTTCTTGTACATAGCTTGCCTCACGAATCATGAGATTCGTCGATGGAAAAGAAAAAAACACATTTGAAGAACATTACCTTAGGAAGCATGGATCAGAGAATGATGCTACTTGGGAGAAAATTTATGTTATAAAAAAAGATATCCACAGTTTTTTATTTGAAGAAGTTTGCTTTAATGATACATTTCAAATTTCGAGAATGATATTTTAATAAGTAGGTGAGATCGTAATAACTTAAATTAAAAATAAATAAATAAATATAATAATAATATTAATAATGATAAATCGAATAGACACTAAGATTAAGCATTCCCTTGTCAAATTAACGATTCCCCTCATTCGAGCCAACGAGAGACAAATCCCAGAAGAAGAGAAGAAAAGTAGAAAGAATAAAGTCATCGCTTGCTACGCAAAAGACAGCATCAAGCCCTAGCTGATAGATCGAGGAGGAAGGAGGTTGTTCGGCCCCAACAGTGTGTTCCGACGTGTCAAACCACCCCAACAGAAAAAAAACAGCGATGTTCTGCTCGTGTGTAGGAGGAAGCGGCATTGTCGTGCACATACAGTGTTGGATTGAGACGCGATCGAAGGTAGAGAGAGGTTTGCGGCTCTGTTGAGATAAGAAGGGGAGTCATAGCCATGAGCTTTGCGTGTGGTGCTTTGGGTCGAGCTAAGATTGAAGGGGAGGAAATGTGGCTTTGTCGACGGAAGAGGAAGCCAAGCCGTACAGGTCAAGCCGAGACCGAAGGGAAGAAGAGGGGAGTTATCATGCGTGAGGCTTGAATTGTCGACCGAATATAAAAGGTAAATTTAAAATTTTATATAAGTTATTTTAAGTTATTTAAAAAAATTATATATGTATATATTGATTGATAACCCTAGCTTCACGCACGACAACTCCCCTTCTTCCTCCCTTCAGTCTTGGCTTGACTCGCATT